ATACAACCTTACAATTACACAAACTATCATGTTTATGCTTATTGTAGCAGCAGAAGTGAAAGAGTATTCATATAACCTACAATACAGAAAATATCTTCTGTAATTACAATCTTATGAAAATGATTATTCTGGTAATAGAATTGAAACGGTGTTTATACAACCTTAATATAAAGTAAATGTGGACTGCAATCATAATTTAATGTACATGGTCATTGTTGAAACAGAATCGAAACAGTATTCATACAACCTTGAAATGAGGAAAAAAAATTCTGTAACTATCATCATATTGAAATGATTATTGTAGCAATAGAACTGAAATAGTATTCAAACAACCTGGAACATTTATTATGAAATCGCATTCTTATGCACATGAATGTTCTAGTAATAGAATTGACAAGGTATTTATACAACCTTGCTACAAATGAAATATTGACTGCACTTATTGTCCTATGTACATTGTAATTGTTGAAACAGAACTGAAACAGTATTCATACAAGCTTACAATAAACAATATCTACTGACATTATTATCATATGTTAATGATTACTGTAGCAATAAAACTGAAAGACTTTGTAATTATTATCATAAGTATATGAAATTTTAGCAACAGAACTAACACAGTATTCATTCAACCTTGCAATAACGAAAATATAGTCTGTAATCAAAATCTTATGTACATGATTATTCTAGTAAAAGAATTGACAAGGTATATATACAACCTTAAAATATAGGAAATATTGACTGCAATTATTATCCTATGTACATTGTCATTGTTGAAACAGAACTGGAACAGTATTCATACAACTTTATAATAACCGATTTCTTCCGATATTATTATCATGTATATGAATGACTTTTTTGCAAAAGAACTAAAACGGTATTCATACAAACTTGCTATAACGGAAATATATTCTGTAATTACAATATTATATACATGATTATCCTAGTAATAGAATTGACAAGGTATTTATACAACCTTTAAATAACGAAAATATATTCTGTAATCAAAATCTTATGTACATGATTATTCTGGTAAAAGAATTGACAAGGTATCTATACAACCTTAAAATAAAGGAAATATTGACTGCAATTATTATCTAATGTACATTGTCATTGTTATAACAGAACTGAAACAGTATTTATACAACCTTACAATAAACAATATCTTCTAATATTATTATCATTATGATTATTGTAGAAATATAAGTGAAACAGTATTCATACAACCTTACAATCAAACAAACTATTTATACTGCTATTATTTTATCATATATATGATTACTGGAGCAGCAGAACTGGAATAGTGTTCATACAAACTTACAATAAAGAAAATATCTTCTGTAATTATTATCATATATATATGTTTGTGATAGTGTAGCATTACTACTAGAGCAGTATTGATACAACCATACAATACATAAAATAGTGTCTGTAATTACAATACATACATACATACATATTGGTATTTATATAGCGCCTTTACATGAACATGCTCAAGGCGCTTTACATTTTAAAATAAAAACAGAATAGTTATATACTCTCCAAGTGCATTACACTCTAAAAAATAACAATTACAAAGAAAACAAATGAGTTTTTAAATTTCTCTTAAATGATGCGACTAAGGTGCAATCTTATGTAAATTATTATTCTGGTAATAGAATTGAAACGGTATGTATACAACTTTGATACAGGTATAAATGAAATACGGAATGCAATCATATTACTATGTACATGATCATTGTTGAAACAGAACCGAAACAGTGATCTAACAACCTTAGAATAAGGAAAATGATTTTCTGTATTTGTCATCATATGTAAATGATTATTGTAGCAATAGAACTGAAACAGTATTCATACAACCATGCTATAAAGACAATTTATTACAAAAATTGCATTCTTATTTACATGATTACTGTACTAAGAGAATTGAAACAGGATTTATACAATCTTGCAATAAATAATTGACTGCAATTATTATCTAATGAACATTGTTTTTTGTAAAAACAGAAGTGAAACAGTATTCATACAAGCTTATAATAAACAGTATCTACTGATATTATTATCATATGTTAATGAATATTGTAGCCACAGAAGTGAAAGAGTATTCATACAAACTTACAATAAAGAAAATATCTTCTGTAATTATGAACACATAATATATATGGTATTGTAGCAACAAAATTAGAACAGTATTTATACAACCATGCAATAAAGAAAATATTGTCTGTTAATACAATCTTATGTAAATGATTATTCTGGTAATAGAATTGGAACGGTATTCAAACAACCTTAATATAAAGTAAATATGGACTGCAATCATAATCTTATGCACACTGTCATTGTTAAAACAGAACTGAAACAGTATTCGTATAAACTTATAATAAACAATATCTACTTATATTATCATAATTGTAAATGATTATTGTAACAATATAAGTAAAACAGTATTCATACAACCTTACAATTAAACAAACTATTTATACCGCTATTACTACATCATGTTTATGATTATTGTAGCAGCAGAACTGAAATAGTATTCATACAAACTTACAATAAAGAAAATATCTTCTGTAATTATTAGCACACTTATATATATATATATATATATATATATATATATATATATAATATTGTAGCAACAGAATTAGAACAGTATTCATACAGCCATGCAATGAAGAAAAATGTCTGTAATTACAATCTTACGCATATAATTATTCTGGTAATCGAATTGAAACAGTTTTTTGTACAACCTTAATATAAGTAAATATGGACTGCAATCATAATCTTATGTACATTGTCATTGTTGTAACAGAACCGAAACAGTATTCATACAACCTTAGAATAAGGAAAAGATTTTCCGGTATTATCATCATATGTAAATGATTATTATTGTAACAATAGAACTAAAACGTTATTCATACAACCTTACAATGAAAAATATGTATTTTGTAATTTTTATCATATGCATATTCAAAATTTGTCTTAAGACACATTTATTCAAAATTGCTTTTGATGATTAAATCACTCTGTTCACATTGATGTGTATTTCATATGTATTGTAATTTGTAGGTGTATTTGCACTTTTTTGTTTTGTTTAATATGTAATTGTTAATCATTGTATTTTGTTTGTTATAGTGCTTAGAGACCTCGGTGGTAAGCGCTTTATAAGTAACGTTTTTTTAATTATTATTATATGAAAATTTAGCAACAGAACTAAAACAGTATTCATTCAACCATGCAATAAAAGAATATATATATTCTGTAATTAAAATCGTATGTAGATGATTATTCTAGTAATAAAATTGACAAGGTATTTATACAACCTTAAAATAAAGGGAGAGGAGCGGAAGTTTGCAACAACATGAGAGACAAAAGAAATGAGTTTTGGCATGATGAATTCTGTGAGATATCATTAAGGGAAGGAAGGAAGGATTAAGGAAAAAGACTAAGGCCTACTAAGTATGTGTTTTAAACGAGAAGTTTCTTTACACCCCACGCACACAACCCCTATAAATTTTTACCACTCTTAAAGGGGCTTTGTAACATTGTTCAGATGTTAGTGGTGCCAAGATAGTGCTTCAATGCTAGATGTACAATTTAAGATCATCTGAAAGTTTGAGTGAAAACAGCCCATTATTAATGATAAAAATTGTGAAAAACTGATCTGACCGTCACAAAGTGATGAACTGCTCGATAGACCATACCAAATATTTAAGCAATAAAATAGCAAAAAATATTGGTATTTTATATAAAGTTCATTTTTATCCCTCAAAAATTTTGAAAATGTTGTATCATACATTAATAACACCATATTTTAATTACTGTATAGTTGCATGGGCAAATTTTAATAAAAATGATATGTTAAGGTTACTTATTCTTCAAAAGAAAGCAATACGCATTATAACCCATTCCCAATATTATGCTCACTGTAATCCTTTATTTTGTAAACTTGGAATTCTGAATGTAATCGATATGCATAATTTTTATATTGCAGTTTTCATGTTTTCATGTTTTAATGGCAACTTGCCTACCTTTTTATCAACATGTTTTAACTTGAATTGTGATGTGCATAATTTTAATACTAGGAATGCCCTAAATTATCACCTCCCCAAGATTAGAACGACTTGTATGAAAAATTCACTATTTTTTAAAGGACCATTAATATGGAATAGTATACCTCAGGAAATAAAAAAATGCAAAACTCTCAATCTTTTTAAAATTAAATATAAACAATTTCTGTTAAACAAGTATAATAATTAGTATCAATAGTATAGACAAATTTTTGACATTTTTCTTATATACTCTGATCGTGCATGATAGTAAGTTTTAATATGTTCTTTGTTTTATTGTTCTGTTCTATTGTTCTCGTTTTCATGTATGTGTGTTTTTAGGGGTAGGCTTTTATATAAGGAACTTCCCTCCTTTCTGCCTATCCCAAATGCTCTTATAAATTGCCATTGTATTTGTTATCACCTTTTTGTGTTTTTTAATATTTATAACTCCATTCTGTATTTGTATGTTTTAAATGTTTTTATGAAGAGTGTTGAATAAACTTTGAATTGAATTAATTCTCCCAACTATATTACTATAATTTAATTAAATTTTAGGTGAATGTAAAACGTCACAAAGTGATGAACTGCTCGATAGACCATACCAAATATTTAAGCATTGAAAGTTTTTTTAAAGCCTGTTTTATGTCTTATTTTCATTGGAAGACGGTTGGGAAAATTATAAAAAAAATTGGTTGGGAGAACTTATTGTAAGAGGGTGTTGCACAGTGACACCTTCAAAGAAAAACATAACTATCTGTGTGGTTTGAGAATTTTGTCATAACGTTTTGCATGTTAGAGGGTAAGTACAGTAGAAGGAATATAAGAAGTAACATTTCGTACAAAAAGTACGCAGTTTGTTCATGAACCTTCAACAATGTTACCGGTTCACTTTAATACTCCATATCTAAACCATCTTCTTATATATGAAATATAATAAAACAACAAATCATTATCACATCTTAACAACATGACTCACAGCAGCATTGGGTAAGGAAGATACAGCAACTTCTAGATTCAGGCTGAGAATCATGCAGACTTAGAATACATGTTTTTTCAAGACGTAGGCTTCATAGCTGAATGCATAAATCAAGACGATCCCTTCTTGATCATATTTCAATGACGGGGTTGCCTACTTCTTTGACTCCCATGCTTGTCGGACTTGTGCAAAGTTGCTACTCACTAAAACGGAATAGTTAAGGAGAACAACGAAAATTAAATAGCTTGAGAATTTGGACTTGTTACCATCTGATGGTTCTCTTTTGGGGAAAAAAAGAAGGAAATCCAATGATTTGCTGGATCCTTACAATAATAAGACAACTTTGTTTCCACAGAATAATTCTATCTCTTTTAACTCAAGTGTATTGAATGGGTCCTTGGCAATGCTGAGGTAGTATTCGAAATATTTCAAGCACAAACAACATCGCTTCTTTGACTCCTAAAAGTGAAAATCTTTTCTTACTGGATCTGCCTTTTATTTGGTATAAGTGAGTTCAAAAGTCTTATCGTTCTATCTTTCTAACAATATAAGGGAACTGTTTAGTATACAAGCCCAAAAGAGTAGAATATGGTTCTTACGTTCATGTAGGATGACCTCAGCTGTGTGGCCTAAACCAGCATTTTGTAATGCTAGATGAAGTTCATCTACCTGCTCACTAGGTCGAACCTGCCGTCTCCAATCACGTAGCATCTCACCAAAGCCTGATCTTGAGACACAATCAAATGACGAGTCTGGGCGGTTGAGGTATTTGTCAACAGCTGAGAAAGAGACGCCAAGCTGGCAGCCAAGGGACTTTAAATCCTTTGGTGAATGGACCACATCTGTAAGGATCTCGATAAGATTGTTGGACACATACTGCAATCGACCCTGCCTGCAGAAAAGTAAAATAATAACATTCGGCGGAAAATCATATTTTAGGATATCAAAATGTAATGCTGCGAATTTTGGTATTTGCGTCACTATATCCATCTGTTATTCATTATATTTGTAAAATTTGCAAATTTGTAAAAATGAAATTCTAGTAGGTGGGGGGTTTGTACATTACTTTTAAAATATTGACAGGAATCCTTGTCCTTTTAGTAGATAAACCACCCTTATCTATAAACCGAGAATCGACTGCCAAAATTAGGTTCTCGACCAGTAGCCATACTAATTACAGGTAATTATAACTTTCTAGTGATAGGTTACGCTTTAGGAATGATAAATGCCTGGTATAAAAATTTGGATCTATGTCACAATTCTGAATCAAATTTTAAAAAGTATTATCTTAATTGACACGGTTCTAATAAGCATATATTACATTTCACATAACACTAATTGTTACAAGAATGAGCGATGCATGCGTGGATGATGATATTCGTTTACTTACGAATCTGTGTGATCGACTGCATAATCTAGTTCATCTGCATCAAACGGAATAAAGAAATACAATAGGAATAATTCATTTTTTTTTCCGTATTCGGACTTCGTTTGTATTTAATATTAATGATGTATTTTTTAGCGAAAAAGTAATCATAATTCAATGAATTCGTTTTTAAGGTCAGAAGAATGTCACAAATTGCAAGACCCACATTCAGAAGATACGAGAAGAAAAAGAATTTGTTTAATAGATAAATAATACCAACTCCCTTGGCAACTGTTTCATATGATACTAATGTGCTCATGCAGTCATGTCAATCTATCATCGATGTAAACACCGAGAAATTTAGTGAAAAGAAACAAGATCTATACCTTGTCCATTAAAATGAATAATCAAATTATCATCTTCAACTTTTCTTTTTGTAAATATCATGAATTGAGTTTAATCAATATTTATAACTAATTTATTATTTAAAAACCAATCATTCAATTTATGTAATTCGACAGTAAATTATGTATCTAATAACATGTTCAGATTACTTCCAGACATGAACACACTGGTGTCATCTGCAAAAAGAATAAATTGTAAGATTTTAGAAGAAGTAATGATATCGTTTATATAAACCAAGATAAAAGGACCCAATATGGACCATTGGGGCACTCCGCATCGAATTTGCGTATTTGAAGATTTATGATTATTGATAACTATAAACTGAGACCGGTCTAACAAATAACTCTTAAATAATAATAATACATTTCCACGAATTCCATAATCTTCCAATTTGCTCGACAAAATATAACGATCTAATGTATCGAAGGCTTTATTTTGAGTGTAAAGGACACACTATATAGGCTTACCTTCTATAGAAATGATATAGTCTCTTTCTGCACGTGTTGCTGACCCTTGTAGTATTTCGATATGGACGTTCTTCTTTCCTTTCTCTTCAGGAGAGAAGTGAAGCTCGAAATTCAAAGGGCTGCACTTTCCACTTAGTATACTCCTGATCGGTACCTTGGTTCGAATTGCAGGGAAATAATAATGATAATGATAATCATTATAACATAATAACAACCACCACTACAACAATGATAATATAATAACAATGAATATATGAACAGAGATCTGTCTGTTACCGTGATATCTAAAAAAATCTGTTGTATGATTTCTGAACAGGGCTCACCTAAACACAATGTAAATATGAGACATATCATTCGTTTAGATGTTTGCGTAGTTTGAAAGTACAGTCCGAATTCGTTTTTGTGTGACAAATGCTGAATCAACCGGAATCAACCAGTTTAATAAGGTCTTAAATGCCAAGAGTAAATCTTTAAAAAAAAATTATATATTCATAAGTAATTCAAATCATTAAAAAAAACAGAGAGAGAGAGAGATCTGTCTTGATAACTAAACAGAAAAGAAAAAAATCCGACTTTTGTTCAACAGTACTCGCGTAAATACGATGTCGATGTAAAATTAGACACAAAGAATAGCATACACATTTCTAAGTACACGGATCCCCGCCTTTTTATTTCAATCGCCCGCGCGTCCTTAAGTTCCACTGAGGAATTGACATTTCAGGGAAAGAAAAGAGAGAGAGGGAATAAATATGACTTGGTGAGATGCAATTTCGATATAAGATAAAGGTTTGATCATTAAATTACTATTCTCCAAAAATGTACCTACGAGGTAGCTGATTGTTGCATTAATCTTTTAAAAAAAGAAAGAAGCCAGATATCACCCTTCTTGAAAACTACATGCATATCTGGAAATGAAGTAGGTGTGTAAAAAAAAAAAAAAGTCAGCTTCTAAAATTTACATCTCCAAAGTCCACCGTTATTATTCAACAGACCTTGTAATAATAATCACGCATATGTACCATTCTTTTGTTAATTTTCGTCCCGTCGTGGAACGAAATCTTTAGATCCTTTGCTGTTGACTCTATATAGAACCTGAGTTCCTTCGAGACTTGACAGTAGGGTACAGAAGAACTCTTCTCCTTCCTCGTTATATCCTGGAGTATGACAAATACAACCAAAATTTAGATATTGCAAAATGATTAAAATTTACGCAGATAATTAATAGTACAGTTTCTTGCGTTCTGATGGGATGTCTGGATAGACCGTATAGTCGTATGTCGTATAGTTGTGTAGTTGTACGAATATTGGCCTGTTTAGCCCGCCATAGCCGTATAGTAGTATAGTTGTATAGTTGTATAGATGTAGTTTCCTGCGTTCTGATTGGACGGCTGGATAGACGCATAATCGTATAGTCGTAAAGTGGTATAGTTGTATAAAAATTAGGGTGTTTAGCCCGCCATACCCTAAACCACTTCCTCACCCATCTTTCTTACTTCACATCATCTCCCCTCCTCTTAACCCCTAACCCTCGCTCTTTCTCGCCGTTTTTCTGTTATCCATCCCTCCTTCTACTTTCCTTCCCACTCATTCTCCCTCCTCACTTTTCTCCCTCCCCAAGAATCATCATCAGTTTCTTTTCCTTCCCTTCCTCGCTTTATAATTCAGTGGTGATAATTTATTCTGAATGAAATTCTAAGCAGACGTTACTCGGTGAACTTCAGAAGTTTTACCATAGGCCCTTCATAACTTAAATAGCCCGAGTGGTCACCTATTAACAGTTGGATTATTATTAAATGGTGTCCGCTAAAGATTGATATAGATTATATGATATGAATACCTCTATGTAGTTCCTATATGGGTGAAGTATGTACACACGTAGAGTTTGTTTCTCTGCAGGAGTCATCAAGAGAGGCTGAAAGACTACACATCTCAACTGGAGTGCTTGAATATCGGTCGATGACAGAGCCCAGACTTGAAGATGACGTGTACGAAACTTGATCTTGTCTTTTAAGATTTGTGAATTGTCCGGAGTCAGGTTCCTACGACCGAACGTTCCTTTGAATTAAGATAAAATTAATTTAAACAAATATTGATTATACTATCTAACTTCCTGATAATATAGGCTTATACGATACTGATTATTAGTAGCTCATGTTCTGATATTTGACTTGATTACATTTTTGTTTAGCGAGTTGATTTAAATGACATGAAAGTATTTTGTTTATGTTATTAAGAAATCATTCAATAATAAATCGATCACATCAGTCTATAATTCTCAAAATAGATCCTCACGACGAGAAGATTATCGTACGTGTGATTTGAAATCTTGTATTCACCTCATTTGTCAAATTGTTTCACAGCTCAAGTGAACATGTTTTTTTTAACTAAACAAGAACAAAAATAGGTACCTGGTCCTGTTTTTGTGTACAGGATAAACGAAGGATCGTCTTTACGTTCACGGTGATTGATACAGTGTGGTAGTACCACCGTGGCAGGCTTGAGCAGTTCCTGTGTCAGAGAACCCTCTACGCCTGGGGTAATGACTACTTCACCCTTCCGTACTGGAAGCCTTGGAGTATCATGAGTTGGGACGCGAAGAGTTACAACTGATCTCATCCCTTTTGGTATAGCTCCTTCGGGGATAGATACGGCAATACCAAGTTCATCGAGGGTCAGTTCTCCACCATTGTGATCAATGATGCCATGCGAGATGAAAGGCATATAGCTTGGTTGACATTTCATGGCTAAGGAGGATAAGAAGAAAACAAGTCATCGATAATCCCCATATGAAACTTGACAAAAAATAAACAGCAGTTAAATTTATATTTAACAAATATTAAGTTGCCAATGTTTGTTCATAGCTATTTCAGAAGCCGTCCCTTTTAGTGTGTTTTTACTGTAAAGCGATTGGGAAACAAGCGTTTAATAAGGCATGTCTGTAGGAGGTCATATTTTACAATTATCTTGGGTCGGAATTTGATTCTAGTAACAAAGAAGAAATCACATTTTTCCAAAGGTATTTTATTTTCACTCTTCTGTCTTCAGTATGGAACGGTCAGTGTTTTGAAAAATATAAATTATTTGCAAAACATCCGAGATGTTTCTGCACAATACAAACAAGTTAATTTAGTGGCATAACGTGATTCTAAGGTCTGAAATATAACTGGTAAACGGATTTTCCCCCTCCAATTTAGTTTGTATTCATCTAGTAACGCGGTTCATGATGAATATTTCTTTAAAAGCAGTTGAAATGCACAAACTCTCACCGAATTTATGAATTTTCTCTGAAGGGGGCCTGTTGGGTTTTTTCATAGTCAGGCAATCGTAAGTAAACACGACGAATCTGTCAAACTTTTTTTTGTCCCCCTCACTAATCAAGTAGGCCTACACCAGTCAATGTAATGTGAAACACTGTGAGGTTGTAAAATGGCATTACCTTTTGCTATCTTGACTGCTGCATCGTTGAAACGGAAAGCCTGAGCAACTTCGAGAAGCCTCTCCCTAGTCCCACCTTGGTGTACCCACTCTTCAAGCATCTTCAGAGCACTACGGCCAATCATGTGAGGCGGGAAGGTCAAAGATGTGCTCATGATCTGCAAGACGCCAGAAGGTTTAACATTCAGGCGATGACACAAGTCCAGAAGTTCTGTCTTGGATCCAATGGCTTTCGAGATTTCTTCACGCCCTGTGGACGCTGAAAAAATGCACATGTAAATGTGAAGGAAAATATCCAGGTTTAATAATAGACGAAGCATAATAATGATGATGAATGAGGACATTGACGAAGTCTAAACTAATGAAATAAACAGTAAATCATTGATGAATTTAAGGACAAGTAAAGAGACAATAAAAAGTGCCCATGCTTTGCAGATACATGTTAATACAAATTTGTACCTACTGAAAATCTTCTGTACTTCTGTATATTCTATTGCTTTAAAACTTTTCTTTTTAAGGGTAAAAATTATGTCTCGTTATCAACACGATTATGATTGAACTCAGCCTTGTGATTCCAACGAACCTGTTGTGCCATCCGGGATGTTAAACTCAGAGAGAAGCTTAGCAAACTTATCTCCTTTTTCTTCCTCTTTCAAACCATTCCACCAACTGTCTACAAGCTGTCGTGCGATCTTATGGAGTACTGATGAACTGGTTCGATGTATGATGTATCCAACAATGGAGTCATCATTTAGACGAAGAGCTTTCCCAAGTGAAAATGTTAATGGCAGACTTTTCACTGGTAGAGTGACGCTGCAAAGCTCTTCTGTGTTTGGTGTACCCCCGCATTGATCAAGGTCATCAATAATTTCATCTCGCTCTACATCAAAATCAAGAGATGAAAAATTATCTAAGAAGTGGATCAATTTTCTAGTCTCAACATTGATAATTATTTGATTTTTTCCTCATCCTCTTTCGAGGTATTTATTAGCAATAGCATAATTATATACATACAATACAAATAAATCAAGGTTTTACAGCAACCATTGATATGTTTGATATTGATTTCATGACTATTTTTATATATCTTATAATGCCCACTGGAATTGTGTTATAATAATAATAATAAGCATTTCTATAGCGCCGTCTATCTAGATAATTCTATTCCGAGGCGTATTTATTATAAACCCGGATTTAGCCTAGCTGCCATTACAGTCTTTACGTCTTGCCAAAGGACATTAGTGCTGCGGCGGGACTCAAACCGCGGACCTTGTGATCGACAGTCCGGCGACGCATCCACTCGACCACGACACCTCTGCAAGGGTATGTATATTAGGCTATTATTGTCCCAATGATATGTTTTTATTCTGTTATCTACCTGTATCTGGTGTTGTTGTAATGATATCCATATCTTCATGCTCTATGGGCTTGCTTGATTTGGCTCTTATCTCAGGAGTCGCCGAAGAGATCATAGGCAAGCTTTCGTCTGAGAGAAAAATATATTAAATATTTAATAGCATGGTTATGTTTCATGACAGTCAGTGGCGTATGCAGGATTTTTTCAAGGGGGGGGGGGGGAGTTAAAATCGGGTCCAAAATTTCGCAACAACTCAGGAAAATTTGAAAATCGTGCCGGCCAAAAAGTGGCTCAGTGGGGGGGGGGGGGGGGGGGGGGGTAAGCGGACACTTTTTTTTTATTTTTTTAGGAGCCCCAAAAAAAATCGCAACGACTCAGCCAGCCGAAAAGTCGCTCAGTGGGGGGGGGGGGGGGGGGGGGGGGGGGGGGGGGGGGGGGGGGGGGGGTAAGCGGACACTTTTTTTTGGGGGGAGGGGGTCTCAAAAAAATCGCAACGACGCAACCGACCGTTGAATAAGCGGGGGGGGGGGGGGGAAGAGGACACTTTTTTTTGTCTCAAAATCTGAATAATTAACATTTTGCTCCGTTGGGGAGGGGGGCGGGTAAGGTCACCTTTCTTAGGTCAGCCATGGGGGTGATTTTTTTATTTATTTTTTTTTTTTAAATAATTAAAAAAAAAACCAAAGGGGGGGGGGGTTTAGGGATTTTTTTAGGGGGGTTAACACACATAAAAATACCAAAGGGGGGGGGTTAACCCCCCAAACACCCCCCTGCGTACGCGCCTGATGACAGTCATAGCAGTCATGACTGTCACCGCTTTAGTTTTAAGTTGTTTGTGTACTACAGAATTGTTCTCCTTTATCCTTTGTATTAGTGAGTGTCTCCGCCTTATCTCGTCTTATTAAGTTTGACACATCAAAATGACTGCTATGAATAACATTATCAGCCCTAATAGTCAGCATGAAGCTTCAAAACTTTTGTTATTAGCACTGAACATTTCAATCTTATGATTCCATTGAAGACAAAGTTCATTTAAGATGTCTGTTCGTTTCTACATTTGATTATAATAACAAATTTTAGATTATATACAATTATATTCAAGTCATAGAGCTATTATTCATTAACAATGAAGAAGAACAATTGCCTGTATTCTCAGCCGTAGATGAGAAGGAAACAGATTCCCAAATGCACTTCAACGTCTCAGTCGCTTCAGGACCTGATCTTTGAGATGCCTTCCACATGCAGAGCATTTGAATGTTAGCGTCTTTGCGATTCTGCAATGTCTTGTGTTTGATGTTCTCAAGCTTATTTCGACTGAATCCAAGCTCTTCGCCAATCTTCATGAAGTCCGTCCACTTGATACGTCGAGCCAAGTTAAGCAAGTCTTGGTCAGAAATGTCACTAAATTAATTGAGAAGAAATGATGTTCATTCTACAAGAATCAAAGCTTATCTTGATTTCTGGTTAGTGAACTGCTTTCCGAATTGCTTTTATTAATACCAGCTAATCATCAGGGTGGAATTCCTCTTTAATAGTCTCACTTCTTGATTTTCTAACTTTTGGCGCTGCGACATTTGCTCTGGGTTTATTTCGTTAAAAAAATAAAACACACACGGCTGGAGTTTTGAGCCAGGGTTGCAGTAAGCGTTTATATTAGATTTACGGTAAGGGTTAGTGACCAAAAATAAAATTCTTACCCGGTTGGATTGATATCTGAAGTACGGTGACCAAATATAGAGGACGTCATTGTTGCACAAAAAAAAAAATGAAATATAGTTTAATAAATTACTCTGCATAATCACAAAGTATTCAATGAAAACAAATGTAATAACAGATATTTGAAAACGTATTTGTTTAATGTATTTTTTCACAATGTCTTCCTTCCATAAATGGCTAGCATATTTTGGAAAAATAAAATCTTCAATTCTATGGCTCTTACTACCACTATTACTACTAATATCATCATTATTACTGTTATTCTGTATTATTATTATTATCATCATCATCATAAATATGTAAATATCATTAATTGCAATTTTTGTTATCATTATTGCTTGTAAGTCTATACTGCAGTGCTTTAATCGTGAATAATAACGGTTCATAAGCTAATAATTTTGTATCAGGTTTTTTTTCCCCCTTTTTTTTAATTGTATTGTTTAATGTCGAAATTTTCTCCTTTTATAGTACGTTGCAATTTTTTAAAAGAATCTCAAATTGTCAAAAAGGCTCATCTTAACTAAATGGAAATCGTGCCTTTTTTTTCTTTTTTAAAAATCTATTGCTCCTTTTTGTTGAACTTGTTTGCGACTTTTAATGTTGTTTTATAAAAATTATTGCGCCGCACTAATGATGGCTATGAACATTATCGACATCAGGCATTACGTTTGGTATAGTTAAGAGTGTGAAGAATATACTGATAAATCTAAATAAGAAAGAGTGAAACCTGTCTTTTTCGTCTTTTCTGCCTCTGTTTCTGCAAGGAGTGAAAGAAGCTTTTCCTTCACGTTTTGATGTGGTAGTTGTTTCTGTTTCCATGTTATCAACATTTCGAAGATGGCCTCTTGTCTGTCTTTGAGCCACTTATACTCTATTGCATCCAGTTGTTGTATTTGGAAACCAAGTGCAACTCCAAGGTCATAAAAGTCGTCTATCAAAAGCTTTTCAGCGATTTTCTGGACATCTTTATCGCGGAGATCATTCCGAGAAGTTCCTTCAATTTCTCTGTAAAACAAAAAATATGTAACGCCAACGGTTTCTTCATCTTAGTAATTACTATGCATTTCCTACATGGTGTTGCACTATTAATTGTTAATGATCTTCCAAATTCCATTTAAATTTCCTACGAAAGGAAAACAAATCAGGAATATAAGCCAATATAAATATATAAGACAATAAGCCTTGTCTCACTATATATCTGACACGAAATCGTAATAGAACTTAGAGGAAAATATATTGTAATGCACCTTGATCTAACTTAAATTTATTCTTAAAATGTGAATAGATTGACAAAGACATGCTCACCGGATAACTGGGGTAAAGTCAGGACTCTTGATCTCATCTGCGATTATGTATACGATGAAAAAGAGTTTTAAAAGAACATGTACAAACATTAAAACTTATTAAAGTAACATTAACATTCTTTTTTTAAAACCGTATTGCCCAAGTAAATGTCCAGAGAAAAATGATTCCAATCAATAACAATTACAGATATCAGTGAAGATGTAATGTCTACCAATTCATTTTGAACGCGTGAATGTCCCAATTGATCAAAATATTGTTGTGCCATTAGAACTCTCCTAAAAGCTAATAAGTAAAGGATTTCATAGTACTATGACTGCGCAGGTATATCTTTATACGAAACTGATAATTACATACATTTTCCCCGAGTATTGCTTTCCTGCTAATTCAAAATTATGAAAGTAACAGCCGGAGCTAAGAATGTTAAGGAAAGTTAACTTGCCGATTAAAATAGAACGTGGACGAAAATAACGTTCGTTATATCATGTGAAATCATAACTCGTCAAATAAAAATCGTCAATCTCTCTTTATTGCAATACTGGGATGGGTTACATATTGTAGACAAACCTTCGTATCTAATGACGAATGCCATTGATCGATACATCCCTAGGTTCCCAGACTGTGTAAGTGTGACGGTTATCACGTCAAATGGAGTATCTTCCTCACTCGGCGGCACTTTTAAGACTACATTATGTCTCATTCGGTTGTGAATTTCCTTTAGAGAGAGCAGCTAAAGAACGAGGAAAAAATGAGTGTTAAGAAACAATTTGTTTTAAATCTGGAAAGAAATCCCGAATAGTAACATGAAAAGGGGGTTCCATATCCGTGTTTTCCATTTGATGTTACTATTCATTTTCTTCATACTCGTTATCCGTTAGCCCAAAGAAAGTAGCTTTTCATCAATAGAGGGGCTATACGTATAGCGCGGTGCGGCTCGGCGCGCTTGCCGAATTCGGCAATTATCTTTTGTATGGCATCTTTAAGTGTGTTCAATACGCGTCCTACTCGGATTTTTTATTTTATTTCAGGGTTTCAGATATTTAGTAAAGATTTACAGTATTATAATTAAAGAAAGATGTCTAAAATTTTTAAAAAATTGTTAATTGGAACCCCTGCAACACAAATGAGTTTTTATTCTTCTAGTGTTACTGAGACAAACATGTTTCAAACACTTCAGACTTACCCGGACTTCCCCTGGCCTGGACAATTCCCTCACCCGGACACTTACCCTCAGGACGATTGGCCTCGAGATGCTAGGAGTCCACTGGGCCGGCGCCAGTTGGCGCCAGTTTGCGCCAATGCAATTTACTGTGGCGCCTAGTGTCGCCAATAAGGTGCCTAGTGGCGTGTAGTGGCTCAAACTGCCTCCCAACTGGCTCGTGGTGGCGCATAACGGCACCAAATTTGAATGTGGCGGCAAGAAAATTTCAAAATGTTTGAAATTTTCGTCGCGCCACTTGCATCGAGCAATCAGCGCCAAGTGTCCGCCAAGTGGCACCAAATGGCGCGAACATATCGCCCTTTGGCGCAAACAATCCGCCTATTGGAATCCACTGGAATGTAATGGCGCGCGCCAAGTTGCGCCAATAAGATTTCGCGCCACATGGCGCCACATGGCGCCAAGGGGCACCTTGTTTGCGCCACTACGCGAGCCAAACGGCACCCGATTGGTGACTACTTCGCGCCAAATGCCACCTGATTGCCCGCCATTCGGCGCCACTAATTGCCGCCTATAACAGCAGGGCGGCATCGCAGGACTTTCTCACAGTGATGGCGGCAGTTCTCCAAGCTCTAGGGATGAGGTTGTGCTGGGCATCCTCCTGGTCCAACATGCGGACGTCCAGTGCCTGATAGTGCTTCCTGATGAGGTTGTGCAGCATGACGGCAGCTCCAATGAGCAGGCGGACTGTGTCTGGTTCCTGTCTCATTTGGCCAAGGAAGCACTGGAACCGCAGAGCCAGAATACCAAAGGCATTTTCAACCACACGCCTTGCCCTGGACAGCCTGTAGTTGAAGATCTTCTGCTGTTGGTCCATGTTACGACGGCCATAGGGCTTCATCATGTACGTCCTCATGGCGAAGGCATCGTCTCCCACGAAGAAGTACGGCATAGTGTGCTCTTCATCATCATGGGGAAGAGGAGCTGGATCTGGGATGCCTAAAGTGCCAGCTTCAATGCACTCCTTCAGTTCACTGTTGTTGTAGATCTGGGCATCAGACTGATGGCCAACCCCACCCACATCGATCCACATGAACTGGTACTTTGAATCTACCAGAGCCATCAGGAAAACCGAGAAGAACTGCTTGTAGTTGAAGTAAAGGCTGCCTGATTTGTCGGGCTTCTGGAGACGGATGTGCTTTCCATCATAGGCTCCCAGACAGTGAGGAAGATTCCATCTGGCTTCAAAATCACCTGCAACCTCAAGCCAGCCTTCATTGGTTGTGGGGAGGGAGATGACTTCTGCAGCATACTCATCCACTACCGCTCTGGCTACATCAGGGACAAACTTCTGGATGGTTTCCTTGCCCACTCGGAAGTTGTAAGACAGCTCGGCATAGGTGGCCCCAGTGGCGAGATGGCGCAGGAAGACTGACAACTTGAGACCAGGGGAATGGCCTTCCTGATGTGGGTGTCCTTCTTCTGCAAGTGGGGTGTAAGCCTGACCAACAGGTCATCAAACATCTCTGGGGACACACTGGTGTAGTTCTTGAACTTCCTCCTGTCATTCTCACTCAGCTCTTCCATCAAAGTGTGGTACTGTCCACGTTCGGCCCTCAACTGTGGGTGGAGCATGGGTCTAAACCACCAGTTGTGCTTCCTTTTCTTCTTAGGAGGCTCTTCTTCTTCAGGATTGACCAGCATAAGTTGATAGGCAGTGGCCACCTCAGCATCTCTCATCATCTTCTGATGGAGCAGCATCATCACTCCAACATTACCAAAAGCCTCAGACATATCAAAATTGTAAATATTTAGTAGAGATGTTGTTCATACAGCAGCTGAGGAGGGTCTGAACCAGGTAGCCAATGGCCGGTATTATTTAGTCGGCAAGTAGCGCCAAGCGGCGGCAAGTTCAAACCAATTTGGCGACCTTTGGCACAAACTAATCACCAAGTGGCGCAAAGTAGCTGTCTATTGGCGCGAATGGCGCCAACAGGGTGAATTTTGGAATCAAATGGCCGTGTAATGGCGCAAACTGGCGCGAACTGGCGCAACATTTTGGAGCAAGCCGGGTGGCATTTGGCGCACGCCATATGGCACCCAGTTTATTCCACTTGGCGACACATTCCGAGCGGACATTAATTCGGCGCCACAGCGAGCCACTACGCGCCAATCACATAATCTTTGGCGAGAACTGGCACCAACTGGCGCCGGCCCAGTGGACTCCTAGCAAGAAATACATTTCCGGGCAATCACTGCTGATATTTATACACGGGACAATTACCTCCCTGGACAATTTACCCAAGGACAATTACCCCATTGGACAATAAACCCAAGACATTTAAACCTAGAATTACAGGCTTATATAAAATTAATATGACCTCTGGCATTTTTAGCTCTGATATTTTTACACCGAAACTTTAAATCTAACCTAAAACCTAACGGCAACCCTAACTCAAAACTATAATCGTTTTTTTTTCTTCTCACGAAATAGAACACGAGCAAACATCGCAGGGCCTAAAGTCAAAACTATAATCACGGAGATTATCATAGTGAAAGTCGACCCTGATAACCAGATGGTAAAAAAACAAAAGCCGAAAAATCAGAGAAACACAGATGCTAGGAGTCCACTGGGCCAGCGCCAGTTGGTGCCAGTTCGCGCCAAAGATTATGTGATTGGCGCGTAGTGGCTCGCTGTGGCGCCGAATTAATGTCCGCTCGGCATGTGTCGCCAAGTGGAATAAACTGGGTGCCATATGGCGTGCGTCAAATGCCACCCGGCTTGCTCCAAAATGTTGCGCCAGTTTGCACCAGTTCGCGCCATTAAACGGCCATTTGATTCCAAAATTCACCCTGTTGGCGCCATTCGCGCCAATAGACGGCTACTTTGCGCCACTTGGTGATTAAATTGTGCCAAAGGTCGCCAAATTGGTTTGAACTTGCCGCCGCTTGGCGCTACTTGCCGACTATATAAATACCGGCCATCGGCTACCTGGTTCGGACCCTCCTCAGCTGCTGTCTGAACAACATCTCTGCTAAATATTTACAATTTTTATATGTCTGAGGCTTTTGATAATGTTGGAGTGATGATGCTGCTCCATCAGAAGATGATGAGAGATGCTGAGGTGGCCACTGCCTATCAACTTATGCTGGCCAATTCTGAAGAAAAAGAGCCTCCTAAGAAGAAAATGAAGCACAACTGGTGGTTTAGACCCATGCTCCACCCACAGTTGAGGGCCGAACGTGGACAGTACCACACTTTGATGGAAGAGCTGAGGGAGAATGACAGGAGGAAGTTCAAGCACTACACCAGGGTGTCCCCAAAAATTGGCGCAACTTGGCGCGCGCCATTACATTCTAGTGCATTCCAATAGGCGGATTGTTTGCGCCAAAGGGCGATATGTTCGCGCCATTTGGTGCCACTTGGCGGACACTTGGCGCTGATTGCTCGATGCAAATGGCGCGATGAAAATTTCAAACATTTTGAAATTTTCTTGCCGCCACATTCACATTTGGTGCCGATACGGGCCACCACGAGCCATTTGGGAGGCAGTTTGAGCCACTGCACGCCACTAGGCACCTTATTGGCGACACTAGGTGCCACAGTAAATTGCATTGGCGCAAACTGGCACCAACTGGCGCTGGCCCAGTGGACTCCTAGCATGAGAGTTTGAGCGATATCCGATTAACAATAGGAAATATAATGTCATCAGTGATACACAAATTGGCAATACTGTCACTTACCTTCCGAGTTTCTCTCAAATTTGCTCTGTACAGAAAGTGTTATAAACTTTCATTATTTTATTTTAGTTATTGATAACGGAGTAGATTTGTTTTATACAGTGACTGTATTGAAACATATTCGCAATAATTGTATTTAGGGTGCACATAATTATGATCGAAACTTTATGTAAGGAAAATAGAAAGTTCTAAAAAAAAATTTTAGATACAGAGCGAATGAGGAGGGATCTCGGCAGATGGATCACATACTAGTAGTTTCCAATATGTGTACGATTGATCGTTCGTAAATTCAAATATTCATAACTTTCTTCATTTAAATTGGATTTTGCTCAACTTTCACTGACCAATTCTTTTCAATTTTCTGCTTCCATAAAATTGAACGGCATATCAGGGTGGACTTCCTCTTTAAGCACAAAACTGATTATCATACCTTAGTTTCTGCCATCTTCCCCTCACAATCACGTGCCACTGTAACGTCACCTGAATGAGATATGATGCTAAATGGGACCGAACGATGGGCCTTGCGGTACGACTGATGCTTCTCATCATGTAGAACTTCCTATTCCAAAGCAAGAGGACAAACAATTAGTAGAACATGGGCCCAATGAATCGGAAAGTTTCTCGGGTTCTCATGGAAAGTTGTCTTGACAGCGTTGGGGGTATACCCGGGGTTCACTTAACAACCCTATCTTCACAACCATTATCATGATTCCATTTGATTTAATTTCCATAGAATTCATTAACATCGATTGGAGAAAATTGGGAGTTCACCCGATTTTTCTCAGATAGCATTTCGGAAAAACACATAGGCCGCGATTGGAAGATTCTTGAGGACATTAGGGTGTCATTCCATACTTTATCCTGGTACTATCAAAGAAAATTGACTTTGTTATCAGCATTGTATAGGCTTTGGCATACAGGCCATGCTAGGGGTAAGTTTCAATTAAGTTATGTCTAAACACATTTTTTAACGGCGTACAGAAATTCTAATCACACTTCTAGAAAATCTCATCAAGTGTGGTGTTAGCAAGCTGTGAGGCCTTGCACATAATAACCCTAGAAAATCTAATTTTAAGACAAAAACACTATAATCTTCCAGAAATTTGCAGTAGTTTTATCAAAACTGTAAATTAATAGAACATATTAACAGTACAAACCGTATCCATGCCAGGAACATCGGCATGCACATGAAGATGAACTTCAATCTCTTTGCCTCTTTCTACGGTTTCTGGGATGTATGGAGTGCACATAAGTTGGTGTCGGATCACCTGCTGTTCAAGAGGAAGAAGAATCCACCACTCCGCACAGCGACCAATGTACAGCTCAAGATGTCTCTTGTACACTTTGCAGTATGGTGGTTCGTCTGGTGAGCTGGACGATCTGTTTCTCGATGTTCTTGGTAGATCTGGTGTCAATTGTTTAAAAATGAATTTCATTTGTCGTAAAAATAGAAAAAAAGGAAGTTATTTCGCCATGCTTGGAGCCGATTTGTCCTTTAAATCGTTACACCTTAATTAACTGACACCAAATGATTCTATCCATAGTGGTTACCTTGATTATCAAGCATAATTGTTTTAAATTGTTTTAAGTTTAAGTAGCCATCCTAAAGAGCATTAAAAAAAACATTCACTCCTTCCCCTTTTGAAAACTTCCACAAATATATAGGCATTGCGGATTGGTCATCATTACGTCACGGATGACCCCGATACCTAGAGGCTAGAGAGTGAACTACCGACCCAGTGATCACTTTGAAGGCGTTCTCGACTACAATCAGAATTCAAGATTTCATTGTCTATTCTTCATGCAAATGCACCTGTTCTTAAAGCGAAGGACAAGGATATAATAGATGAGTTATTATTTTCAATTGGTGTTTCATGGAAAGTAAACGTAGACTAAATGTGGTATCGTATGCTAAGAATGTAATTCAAAGTGTTGTGTCTGACAAACTAGAAGTGGATCTCGGGACATCACTTTCCGTATATCCCAGTATTAAGAATGGGTTATTTTCTCTATCTGACCCAATTGACTTACCCTTCGCTGAATCCCATAAACGGCAAACGATATCAGGCTTCACTTGATCTGGGTTGACGATGAAGGCTGAGTGTGGTATCTTGATCTTAACAGGTTGGTGGAAGATCATGTTTGGAGGCTCACATCTGATCCCAAGACAGGCCAATGCTTCATCCCCCTGACTGTTTATACTTGGAGGATCTTGTATACTGGTTAATGATATTGTGCAGGAGCGACTCATTTGTACAGCCCCTGGTGGGATAGACATTGATATACCAAGGTCCGCCAGTTCTATCTGCTTCCCGCCATTACCGACATGAGCAGACACCGTAACCAAGGGTATGGCTTCTTCGACTGTACAAAAGATGAAATCAAGAGATTACCAACTACTAATGGAAATTAGGGTTTCTCTGTATTCAGACACTAATTAATGACTGAATCTCGGGAACATCAGATAAAAAGCTAGTAATAAAAAAGGAACACATCTATAATCGTTTGAGGCGGAGAAGATGTAATTATTGCATGTCCAATGAATATGCATTACACACAGTAAGGCAATAATGTGTATCAACTCGTACTTAAATGTAAATGTTTTGTTTTCATTTTAATTGATGTATCAGTGCACATTAACAGCGAAATGAAGACTGGATAAATAAAATATAAAGCACAAAGCACGAGAAAGTAAATTTGGTATCTCTCTGTATCATACATTACCTCGATATCTTCTGATCATCTCTATCGACGGTAACCTATAATTTTCAGGGTGAAAAGGAAAACCAAAGAGTAATTATTAGTATTGATGATTTTGATTTAGAATCACATCGTGTACAAAATAAAAGAGCTTTTGTTAATCATATTCAGTCGTGATATGAATATAGAGAATATGAAAGTTTAAATCGACGTTTCCATAGGCCCAAAATCCAGGGTTTAAAGGGGGCCTTCACACTATAATAAAATGAGGAAATCAACGTGAAATAATTTTGAAATTCCGAATAGGCAAAACTACGCACAAACTTCACAACGAATACATTCCAGATGCTAGGCAGGACACTTAACTGACAATCATCTAAGAACGAACCAAAGCTAATTGTGAACAAAATAAACAAACAACTAAGGAATAATCTTCATTATGTTTATTAGTTTTATTTTCCAGAACAAGAACGGTGTACAAATGACTATAAAGGTCTATAAGGCGAACAACTACAGTAACTCAAAATACAATAGAAATACAAAAGGAAGGTCGTCAATAAATGATGACATTGATTAAATAACATAGAGAAATGAAACAGAATGGAGAAATGGATACGCAATACTGTGTGTGGAAGGAGCCAACTTATTCAAATTTAGGAGACAAATTTTAAAAACTTAACCCAAATTTCTTTCATAATAATCAATCCTGACCCAAACAAAACGATAATTATATTGCAATTTAAGATTCGGAGACAAAATCGGTGTTTTTTTTAAATATGTTATGCTGTCACAACTAAATTTACTTTGATTCATTACAGCATTAACTTTAGCAAAATTTAATTTTCTTTTACTTATTAGGAACGGAATAGGTAAGCTGAGAGATCGTAATTTATGCAAGAGAAGTTCCTTAGACTACGGCCTCATTTGGCAATGTTTAGGCAGACAAAATTCGACACATCCAGGGGACTAGCCGCTACCTTAATTGCTGTCAAACAAAAGGTTCCATTAAGTTTACCGAACTTAACTGCTTCTTACTGGGCGTTCGTTAGTACACAACAAGTTAGATACATAAAAGTTTCGCCACACATCTATAACGGGCGGAACGTGCCATATCCTTGACAACTATACAACTATACATCCATCGAATAGCTGTATAGTTTTAACCAATCAGAGCGGAGGAAACTATACGACTATATGACTTTAACGGGCGAAACATGCCATATTCATGACAACTATACAACTATTCATCCATCGAATGGCTGTTTATTTTTAACCAATCAGAACGCAGGAAACTATTAGAATACAACTATACAACTATGCGACTATGAGGCTATGTATCCATCGAAGTACTCGTGAACGCATATAAAGTTTCCAGCGTGCGGGCCGTAGTGCCATAATTCTGTACAACTATACGACTATACAGACATCGAATAGACGTATATTTTTAACCAATCAGAAAGCAGGAAACTGTTCATATTTACCACTTCTTTTTTTTAAAACTGTAAGTGTTTACAACTCGACTGTACATACTTACAGCTAGACTGTACTTGTTTATAACTATACAATTGTAAACACGTACAGTTTCCTGCTTCTGATTGGTTAAAACTATACGTCCATTCGAAGGCTGTATAGTCGTATAGTTGTACATAATTATGGCACTTCAGCCTGTACGCTGGAAACTATACATGCGTACTTCGATGGATGCATAGCCGTAAAGTTGTATAGTCGTATAGTTTTCTGCGTTCTGATAGGTAAAAACTATACATCCATTCGATGGAAATATAGTTGTATATTTGTCATGTTTATGACACGTTTAGCCCGCCATGCGCGAGCATTGTTGGCATACAAATATTTTATGAAACAAATAACAAATTCAAACCAATGTTCAAATGAACTTCAGCGTATGCCAGCGAATAACGAGTTCTAAGATGGCCCATGTAAAAACGACCCCTAAATATCCACAGATCTTTGAAACATGGATAAATCTCACTCTATGCATTTTACAATAATCACTGTCAAAGGGATGGAAGTGCTTCATGAATACGTTTCGTTTTTTCCTGTTTAAAAACGAACTTCAATTTTTGTTAGCCTGTCATAGAATGAACCAGCAGTGCATAAATGAATAATGACTTTCGTGAACATTATATCCAGTATTTGTGACGATGGGTATTACAATTTGGTATGATAACCTTTATCTACCCGGGATCTACCTATACGAAGATATTATCTCCGAACTGGCCCATTAATCATCACAAGACGTAGCTTATGAACAAAGATTTACCTACCTTGAAAATATCATCTGTCGGGTAGCTTCATTGGTAGCATAGTGGATTGGTAGTTTGCCTTCACCATCCCTTATGTACAGATTGGCGCTGTGCTCCAGAAGGTATAAGACCAAAGCAGCCTTCTCTGGGAAAAGCTCGTGCCGATAGAAGTCTTCTGAGATCTGAGACAAAATACAGGGTAGATTAAGGGAGGTAACCAAGATTTAATCTACCTCAAAACTTCGATAGATCTATCGTTTCTCAAGGATTAATGGTTATACAAAATTACACCAAGAACCTATATAACAATACAAGCATAATAAATGTGTATTGAATGTACCTACAACTTGTACCTTGTTACCAAGGAATGTTATTAATAAATATTTAAATTCTTATTACAGGGAAGAAGTACAATCAACCAAACATGATTGTTCGGTCACTATTCAGGGACAAGTTCGAAATCACAAGTGAGCAATATTAAACCTCAGCTTAAGAAAATTGCACGACATTAACATAATTACGATTTCCTTCTTGCAGACCAGCTTATCGGTTGTCTGTGCAAGGTAAGTTCTTTAGTCGTCCTTACCTGTTGGTGTCTCCCTTTTGTTTGCTCTGTTCTTCCCGCGTGATCAGAAAGTATGATGGCTTCATGAAGACAGGTCTTTCCATCGTGAGACTGGATGTTCAAGGAAGCTCCATTGGAAACCAGCGACTTGACAACCGGTGTGTGGAGATTTTGAGTGGCGAGGTGAATGGCAGTCAATCCTTCATTATCACGGTCATCGAGAATCCCATTGATCTATAAAAACAAACAAAAATGTGTAAATTATACATTAAAGTCGTATTATGTTAGATAGAGCACGAGTATTACTTGAAAGTTCAATTAGCTTTTAAAGGCCGCCAAGTAATTATCAAGAACACGTTTTTGATTTCAAATTATCCTACACCTTCTGGAATCTGAATGTGCTCATATCTAAGCCCAGAAACATATGGACTCGAAATAAACTCCATTTAGCTTTGTTTACATTTATTATCAAATAATTTCATAATCGTAATAACACGCTTGTTTATTATCTATTTTGGCTCTTCACTATGTAGAGGAAAGATTTATTATATACCTTTGCATATTTTGCTAAGATGTCGGAAGAGTTGGCACTTCCTATCTTTGAAGATAGATGAAGTGGAGTATGTCCATTGTCATCCTTTATATCAACTAGGGCTCCTTCCTCAAGCAGGACCTGAACAATATGAAGGTCACCATTCATAGCAGCAATGTGCAAGGGAGTGTAGCCGTTTCTGTCACCGATATTCATACTTATTCCTTGCGTTAGCAAATACTTCGTGACACCAAGATGACCCTCCTGGGCAGCACTGTGTAATGTAGTCCGGCCGTCATTATTTCCCCTATTAACCTCAGCTCCTTGACTGATCAGATATTGGGTGACATCAAGATGACCATTCTGAGCAGCACTGTTTAACGGAGTCGAACCGTTATCCGTTTCCCTATTCACCTGAGCTCCTTGAGTGATGAGATATTTGGTGACATCAAGATGACCATTCAGAGCAGAAAAGTGTAATGCAGTCAAACCGCTAGTATGTCCCAGATTCACCTCAGCTCCTTGACTGATCAGATATTTGGTGACATTAAGATGACCAGTGCCAGCAGCAAGGTGTAATGCATTTCTACCGTCAGTACATCCCAGATTCACATTGGCTCCTTGACTGATCAGATATTTGGTGACATCAAGATGACCCTTATGAGCAGCACTGTGTAATGCAGACCTACCGTCAGTATCTCCCAGATTCACCTCAGCTCCTTGACTGATAAGATATTGGGTGACATCAAGATGATCATTCTGAGCAGCAAGATGTAATGGATTCCTACCATTATTATCTCCCTTATTCACCTCAGCTCCTTGGCTGATGAGATATTTTGTGACATCAAGATGACCCTTATGAGCAGCACTTTGTAATGCAGTCATACCATCAGAATCTCCCAGATTCATCTCGGCTCCTTGACTTATAAGATATTTGGTGACATCAAGATGACCATTCTTGCCAGCAAGGTGTAATGCAGTAACACTTTCATTATTTCCCTTATTCACCTCGGCTCCTTGACTGATGAGATATTTGGTGATATCAAGATGGCCGTTGAAAACAGCACTGCGTAATGCAGGCCTTCCGCCAGTATCTCCCTGATTCACCTCAGCTCCTTGACTGACGAGATATTTGGTGACATCAAGATGACCCTGGAAAGCAGCACTGCGTAGTGCAGTCCTATTGTCATATTCTCCCTTATTTACCTGAGCTCCTTGGCTGATGAGATATTTGGCGAGTTCAAGATGACCATTCTCAGCAGCAAGTCGTAATGCATTCCTACCGTCAGTACCTCCCATATTCACCTCTGCTCCTTGACCTATAAGATAGTTGGTGACCTCAAGATGACCATTCTCAGCAGCAAGTTGTAATGCATTCCCACCAGCACTTGATTCCTTATTTACCTCAGCTCCTTGACTGATGAGATATTGGGTGACATCAAGATGACCCTTCATAGCAGCAAGTTGTAATGCATTCCTACCATCATTTACTTCCTTATTTACCTCAGCTCCTTGACTGATGAGATATTGGGTGACATCAAGATGGCCCTCCTGAGCAGCAAGTTGTAATGCATTCCCACCAGCACTTGATTTTTTATTTACCTCAGCTCCTTGACTGATGAGATATTGGGTGACATCAAGATGACCCTTCTGAACAGCGAGTTGTAATGCATTCCTACCATCATTTACTTCCTTATTTACCTCAGCTCCTTGACTTGTGAGATATTTGGTGACATCAAGATGACCATTCTCAGCAGCATTGTGTAATGCAGTCACACCCACACCATTTTCCTTATTCACGTCGGCTCCTTGACCTATAAGATATTTGGTGACCTCAAGATGACCCGTCTGAACAGCGAGTTGTAATGCATTCCTACCATCATTTGCTTCCTTATTTACCTCAGCTCCTTGTTGACTGATGAGATATTTGGTGACATCAAGATGACCATTGAAAGCAGCATTGTGTAATGCAGTCACACCCACATCATTTCCCTTATTCACCTCTGCTCCTTGACCTATAAGATATTTGGTGACCTCAAGATGACCATTCTCAGCAGCAAGGTATAATGCAGTCTCACCCACATCGTTTCCCTTATTCACCTCTGCTCCTTGACCTATAAGATATTTGGTGACCTCAAGATGACCATTCTCAGCAGCAAGTTGTAATGCATTCCCACCATCACTTGATTCCTTATTTACCTCAGCTCCTTGACTGATGAGATATTGGGTGACATCAAGATGACCCTTCATAGCAGCAAGTTGTAATGCATTCCTACCATCATTTACTTCCTTATTTACCTCAGCTCCTTGACTGATGAGATATTGGGTGACATCAAGATGGCCCTCCTGAGCAGCAAGTTGTAATGCATTCCCACCAGCACTTGATTCCTTATTTACCTCAGCTCCTTGACTGATGAGATATTGGGTGACATCAAGATGACCCTTCATAGCAGCAAGTTGTAATGCATTCCTACCATCATTTACTTCCTTATTTACCTCAGCTCCTTGACTGATGAGATATTGGGTGACATCAAAATGGCCCTCCTGAGCAGCAAGTTGTAATGCATTCCCACCAGCACTTGATTCCTTATTTACCTCAGCTCCTTGACTGATGAGATATTGGGTGACATCAAGATGACCCTTCTGAACAGCGAGTTGTAATGCATTCCTACCATTATTTACTTCCTTATTTACCTCAGCTCCTTGACTTGTGAGATATTTGGTGACATCAAGATGACCATTGAAAGCAGCAATGTGTAATGCAGTCACACCCACACCATTTTCCTTATTCACCTCGGCTCCTTGACCTATAAGATATTTGGTGACCTCAAGATGACCCGTCTGAACAGCGAGTTGTAATGCATTCCTACCATCATTTGCTCCCTTATTTACCTCAGCTCCTTGTTGACTGATGAGATATTTGGTGACATCAAGATAACCATTGAAAGCAGCATTGTGTAATGCAGTCACACCCACATCATCTCCCTTGTTCACCTCGGCTCCTTGACCTATAAGATATTTGGTGACATCAAGATGACCCTTCTGAACAGCGAGTTGTAATGCATTCCTACCATCATTTGCTTCCTTATTTACCTCAGCTCCTTGTTGACTGATGAGATATTTGGTGACATCAAGATGACCATTGAAAGCAGCATTATGTAATGCAGTCTCACCCACATCGTTTCCCTTGTTCACCTCGGCTCCTTGACCTATAAGATATTTGGTGACATCAAGATGACCCTCCTGAACAGCGAGTTGTAATGCATTCCTACCATCATTTGCTTCCTTATTTACCTCAGCTCCTTGACTAATGAGATATTGGGTGACATCAAGATGGCCCTCCTGAGCAGCAAGTTGTAATGCATTCCCACCAGCACTTGATTCCTTATTTACCTCAGCTCCTTGACTGATGAGATATTGGGTGACATCAAGATGACCATTGAAAGCAGCATTGTGTAATGCAGTCACACCCACATCGTTTCCCTTGTTCACCTCGGCTCCTTGACCTATAAGATATTTGGTGACATCAAGATGACCCTTCTGAGCAGCAATGTGTAATGCAGTCACACCCACATCATTTCTCTTATTCACCTCGGCTCCTTGACCTATAAGATATTTGTTGACATTGAGATGACCATTGAAAGCAGCTCTGTGTAATGCAGTCACACCCACATCATTTCCCTTATTCACCTCGGCTCCTTGACCTATAAGATATTTGGTGACCTCAAGATGACCCTTCTGAACAGCGAGTTGTAATGCATTCCTACCAGCATTTACCTCAGCTCCTTGTTGACTGATGAGATATTTGGTGACATCAAGATGACCATTCTGAACAGCTAGTTGTAATGCATTTATACCATCACTTGCTTCCTTGTTTACCTCAGCTCCTTGTTGACTGATGAGATATTGGGTGACATTAAGATGACCATGGAAAGCAGCACTGTGTAATGCAGTCCAACCTTTCATATTTTCTTTATTCACATCAGCTCCGAGAATGACAAGTAATTTAGTGACATCAAGATGACCATTCTGAGCAGCAAAGTGCAATGCAGTCCAACCGCCAGTATCTTCCTTATTCACCTCAGCTCCTTGACTGATGAGATATTTGGTGACATTAAGATGACCATTGAAAGCAGCACTGTGTAATGCAGTCACACCCACATCATTTCCCTTATTCACCTCGGCTCCTTGACTTGTGAGATATTTGGTGACATTGAGATGACCATTGAAAGCAGCACTGTGTAATGCAGTCACACCCACACCATTTCCCTTATTCACCTCGGCTCCTTGACCTATAAGATATTTGGTGACATCAAGATGACCCTTCTGAGCAGCAATGTGTAATGCAGTCACACCCACATCATTTCCCTTATTCACCTCGGCTCCTTGACCTATAAGATATTTGTTGACATTGAGATGACCATTGAAAGCAGCTCTGTGTAATGCAGTCACACCCACATCATTTCCCTTATTCACCTCGGCTCCTTGACCTATAAGATATTTGGTGACCTCAAGATGACCCTTCTGAACAGCGAGTTGTAATGCATTCCTACCAGCATTTACCTCAGCTCCTTGTTGACTGATGAGATATTTGGTGACATCAAGATGACCATTCTGAACAGCTAGTTGTAATGCATTCATACCATCACTTGCTTCCTTGTTTACCTCAGCTCCTTGTTGACTGATGAGATATTGGGTGACATTAAGATGACCATGGAAAGCAGCACTGTGTAATGCAGTCCAACCTTTAATATTTTCTTTATTCACATCAGCTCCGAAAAAGACAAGTGATTTAGTGACATCAAGATGACCATTCTGAGCAGCAAAGTGCAATGCAGTCCAACCGCCAGTATCTTCCTTATTCACCTCAACTCCTTGACTGATGAGATATTTGGTGACATTAAGATGACCATTGAAAGCAGCACTGTGTAATGCAGTCACACCCACATCATTTCCCTTATTCACCTCGGCTCCTTGACGTCTGAGATATTTGGTGACATTGAGATGACCATTGATAGCAGCACTGTGTAATGCAGTCATACCATCAGTATCTCCCAGATTCATCTCGGCTCCTTGACTAATAAGATATTGGGTGATATCAAGATGATCATTCTGAGCAGCAAGATGTAATGGATTCCTACCATTATTATCTCCCTTATTCACCTCAGCTCCTTGGCTGATGAGATATTTTGTGACATCAAGAAAACCCTTATGAGCAGCACTTTGTAATGCAGTGATACCATCAGTATCTCCCAGATTCACCTCGGCTCCTTGCCTTATAAGATATTTGGTGACATCAAGATGACCATTCTTGCCAGCAAGGTGTAATGCAGTAACACTTTCATTATTTCCCTTATTCACCTCGGCTCCTTGACTGATGAGATATTTGGTGATATCAAGATGGCCGTTGAAAGCAGCACTTCGTAATGCAGTCCTTCCGCCAGTATCTCCCTGATTCACCTCAGCTCCTTGACTGACGAGATATTTGGTGACATTAAGATGACCATTGAAAGCAGCACTGTGTTATGCAGTCACACCCTCATCATTTCCCTTATTCACCTCGGCTCCTTGACTGATGAGATATTTGGTGACATCAAGATGACCATTATGAGCAGCAAGGTGTAATGCATTCCCACCATCACTTGCTTCCTTATTTACCTTAGCTCCTTGTTGACTGATGAGATATTGGGTGAGTTCAAGATGACCATTCTGAGCAGCGCTGTGTGATGCTGAGTAGCCGCCCTTGTCTTCTTTCTCCACATTAGCTCCATGGCTGAGTATAAAGTTCGTTGCTTTAAGACGTCCGAGTGATGCAGCAAGATGTAAGGGTGTTTGTCCATCTGGAGTCGCCTTCTCAACATCAGCACCATGGTTTATGAGATACTCAACGACATTCTCCTGGTCATACTGGACCGCTATGTGTAAGGGTGTGTTTCCATCTTGGTCTGTCTGGTTTATGTTGGTACCCTGTTTTAGCAGTTTCTTTACGTTTTTTATTTTACCCTTTAATGCTGCCTCATGAAGCTGTCTATTTATGTCCCCCATGCTTGAAGAAAAACCGGTTTACCTACATCCTACTACAGCACTGTTACTTGTAACCGTCTACATTTCTCTTAAAGCTCGATTTTGAAATGTCACGATTAAGAGTCTAAATCTTTTTGTAGCAGATAGTCTCGTTGCAGTCTTCATGGTATAAGCATAAGCATTCACCACACTGATTGTTTTCTCGCAAAGGGCAGTTGTTATTTTTGTCGTTTACAACAAGTTCCAAAGTCCTGTGCAGTGAACTAAATCGTAAATCAGATATCTGTAATTCCCATTTTATTGTTAGGCTTCGCTCTTTCCTCCTCTTTTTATTTTTTTCCCTAATATTTGGCAATTATCAACATTTCAATAAATGTAAAGCGAGTGCATTTTTTTAACCCCCCCCCCTTCCCTTTGACTCTAAAATAAAGGTTGGAAACGTATATCCTGTTCGTCTTTTCACGGAGACGTACATTCACATGAAAATACGTTTAAAAAAAAAAACATTTTCAAGGAGGGAAATAGTCTTGCCCAGATAGGAAGAACAGTTCACGTTTTACATGTTGAATTACTTGTAATAAGATAAGGCCTACTTTGAAGCATGCAAAACAGATTTTTTTTTTTGCACTGATCATAATTTATTCAACTGTTATACTCTTCCTATGAATTTGCTTAAGTCATATCATAAAACCTTTATGTGTTCACATTCCTTACCCACCGCTGTTATCCCACCATCAATATTCTTTGATCTAAGGTGTAGCTATTGTTTTGTTATGAATGTACTATTTTTAATTACTTTGTCATACTATTGTATTTTGTGCAGTATCATTGTATTATTACTTTGATTTGATTTGATTTGATAAGGTTTTATTCGAATATTCAACAATACAGCTGGAGGCTGATACAAGTGAATTTACAAGGTAAAAATAATTCCATATACATAAAAATACAATTATATGCTTTAACATTTTTAAATGAATCCAGATATAAACAGTACATAGTACATAAATCATAAATAATGAAAATAATAATAATATTGAGTTCGGTTTGCATACTTGGATATGAAATAAATAGAAAATCAAAGGGTGTAAGAACAGTTTGAGAGTCAGTGCAGGACATTTTGATATTGTATTAAGAAACAAATTATTATTAATTATTAAAAAATTGAAACTTAATGATTAAACTATAACATTTACATGAAGTATATATAACAAAAATAAATCGATAAAATACAATTATTAAATATTGTTATGTATGATCTTCATAAATACGTGATGTAAAACCCGGCTTGAAAACATAAAATTACATTTATTAAATTACATTTATTGAAATAACATTAATAATTATTGCATTGATCAACTTGCATTTATCAAAGTTAAATTTAAAAAGTCAGATAATATACATTGTTCTTCTGAGTTGCATAGATTGGCAATGAGAATATCTTTTATAATAATTTATCGGATCAAAATTGCATTTAAATAAATTATATTTCTAAAATTATATTTCTCAAAATAAAATTCTTAAAAACAGCATTTCATTAAATTTCTATTCATTAAAATCGTATTAATCAAAACTATATTCATAAAACTACATACAAATTCAGATAGAGGTTGAGGATTAAATAGCTAGACCTACATGAGGAGGTCGGGATTCCTATTTAGTAAACGAACAATTGATGGGATACTAGAATTGTAATATCTTGTGGTCCTGCATTTTGGTTCATGGAGAAGATATGAGTTGCGTAACTGCCTTCCAGACAGTGATCGTCGGGACTTTGGAAGAAAGTCACGATGGCGAGCTGACTTGAGAAGGTCACGTGCAAAAGAGAGGAGAAGACCTTCTCGTCGTGAGTAGAGAGAATCAAGACGGAGGTGATCCAAAGCACCGCGGTAGGAGTCATACCTACCAAGGATGACTCGACAGACCCTTTTCTGCACACGTTCAATGTCATTGGATTGAGCAGTGGTCAGTGACGAGGACCAGACAGGTGATGCGTATTCAAGTACAGGTCTGATGTACATAGCATAAATAGCAACCAAATCAGAAGTCGGGAGTCTACATTTTCCGAGGCGATATATGATGTAGAGACGTCTGCTATGCAACTTGCACTCAATTCAGCCGAAAGGCTGCCATGTACAATGTTGTTTTTGTTTTTTTATACCACAATAAATAAATAAGAAGCATAGATTTACTACAAATAAAAAAATACCATCTATGCGTGGAGGAAGCTGACTTCTATCCTTTAATAATTGAATAACCCATGAACAAAGCAAATACTAACGCTGATTATGGCACTGGGTATTGTTATGATAATGCGGTGAAGGTTGGGACAAAAATCCGACGGAAGATAATCGTAATTAGAATATCAACGACGACGGCGACGACGATGATGTGTAAAGTATTTGAATGATAATGGTGATCACGGTAATAGAGATGAAGATGATGATGGTGAATTATGTCCCGTTAACAGTATTTATCAGTTGCATTGCAGTCCATGGAGAGCGCATTTATTGGCAAAATACATTTTTCTACATAGGCCTACTTCTTACATACATATACTTCACGATGGAAGTATTTTATATCTCAGTATTAAGAGTTACTGTACTTTATTATCTCTGATTCTATCATGAAAGGAAAATATGTACATTGTTTGGAAGGAGTGCATAATACAATTTCAAGTCTACTGTAGATCAATTGAGTTTTTTGCATGATTGAATGTGATTTCAAGTACAATTTTGGAATGGTACCCAATACTGTGCCATAAAAGCACTTTTATACGGACCCTGCACGTAAATCCCATTCATTATTCTGCCTGGTATTCTTTTGAGGGTTCCCCTTTTTGATAATTGCGCCAGTTTTTGGCATCGCTTCCAATACTGAAAGGCGTACTGTTGTGCATGTGTACACTCCGTGATAATTATATGACCTCTCTGTTAATTCTGTTTTGCGACAAAATAGAATTCACGAAGTAAAAGAGGCTTCCTGGCTTAGCTCTTTTCAACGAGCCAAACAAAGTATTGAATTCTATCGTTTCGAGAAGAAACAGAATTGGTTATAAGCGGAATGAAATTTAAAGAGGGATAAATCAAACACTGGATGGCTTTACATTCTGCTCAACCAACCATACGATTATAAATGAGAATAGCGATACAAAGCTGAACTTATGAAATAGTTGGTATGATGTCTGGCTGTGGAACGATGAGGTTAACATTGCTGGCTATTTATCCATTGTGACCCCGTTCAAGAATTAGAAAAATGAAACAGGTTATAACCAGTTCGGTTATAAAATTACATTAAAGTTAGACAGTAACCAAAATAGTTAAAGGAGATCAGATTATAGGTCTGTTTTTTAAATGGATTTTCAATTACGATGAGAGGTTATCTTTACGCGCGTGTGTGTGTGTGTGTGAGGGAGGAATTATTTATTGTGATCTAGAATGTAACACACCCACTTTTAATCTTAAACTGATTTCTATTGACCCTTTTTACTTTAAGAATGGACCTTATAGATACTATCCGATGAAAATACAACTTTATATCAATGGAAAGCTGAATGAACGTAAAATACAAATATAAAGGAATAAAAAAACTAGTTTCCCTATAATTAGTGCACAAAATAAAATTAGAACCTCAATTTTCGCACCCTTACAAATAACGGGTCAACAGGGATCATATTTGCTGCAATTACGGTGACGACATTGCAAATTGACCCAATCGGATGGCCTATACAGTGCGTACACTGTATATAATAAAAAGTGTACCCAACTTTGGTAGCTCCTTATTAAAAAGTCATAACCAATATGACTTAGAAACCTGTTTCATGATGAAGAGTCATTTATTCGTTATCCAATGATACCCTATTCATAAAATTCCTGTCATGGGTTTTTTAAAGTGTTATTTAATAAATAACAGTACTACAACAAAGCTTTACAAACCTAGATAAAAATGAACTTGATCTAATCTGTTCATCTAATTGACTCCAACATTTTATCGCAGCATAAATTAATAACGTCAGAGACGATATCAATTTTACATTAGGTAGGCCTACATGGTAATGAAACTATTGTCTTTGACGAGTTGCATATGAGTGAAAATTTCCTTTTCGATAGTCATGAAAGTAGATAATTTCAGGTTATAATCTACAGAACAATGAAAGAAGATACATAAAAGAGGCATTTGAGGGAACAATATATAAGAACTGCCGGTGAGGAATGTGAGATTTTGTCCCAAATACCCTCAATACCGCTGGACAGAGATATTATGTTCGGCTAATATCGAAAAGGAGGTGGCTTTGACGAAGACATTCGAGAAAAGTCGGATATACCCCCCCCCCCAAGCTAGTTGTCTTGAAAGGGTGCGATGAGCGCACTGTCACCCCTTCGAGACATCCAGTAGAGGGGATGTAGATTCTCCATCTATTCTTGCATAATTACCATTTTGATTAAATAAATAATAACTACGAATGAACAGATGACAAACATGGGATGTTCATGAAACACATGATAAATGTATTCCTGTAATTAACAACTGTTCCTGGGATAAATAAAGCGTATAGGACAGATATTTAAGTATAATCTGGGGCATGTTTCTTCCATCAAAATGACTTCAAAAGAGGAACGAATCTTGATGAAATTTGAAGTGTGCACCCATTGTAGAGGTGTCGTGGACGAGTGCACGTCACCGGACTGTGGATCAAAAGGTCCGCGGTTCGAGTCCCGCCGGCACTAATGTCCTTTGGCAAGACATT